GAGCCCGACGCGGGGCTCGAACTCCCGGACCGCGAGATCGTGACCTGGCTGAAGTCGGACGCTCAACCGACTGCGCCACCCAGGCGCCCCTAGGTTTCACGTTTTAATATTCATCCCAAGCGTCTGTCGCTGGGCACCCTCATTAGCCCAGGATTTCTCCAAGAAGGGATTTAGCAACCCCCTCCTGAAGCCCAGATCCAAATCTGTGGCTGCCTCGAATGGCCTTTTCGTTAAACCTAAAAACTTCATGCTTGGCCTTCAGCCGTCCCGAATGCTTCGTCTTTTATCATCTCGCCTGGAGTTGTATACTTCTTCCCTTCACACCAGGCGGACTGGACTCTCTCTCTGGCCTTCGTCCTCGTCAGTCAGGCCCAGATTCGGAAGACTGGTCTCACGTGGTACACTCTCTTCTTGACATCTGTCAGGCCAGCTCTCCCCCATCTCGCGAGGTTCCGCGTAAAGCTCACCGTCTCCCAGAGAATGATCCATATATGGCTTTTTAATCAACAGGGCACTCTTTTCCTTCATTTCTTTGTTCTCCATTTTCCATACACATTCACATACTTTGCAGAACAAGTGGAGGGAAAAAAGCAGACATTGTTTTGGTATTAAAGTTGCTTCGTTCGGTGCGGACCTATCATGTTTTCTTCTTTTAAGTTTATTTAGTTCCTTCGAGGGAGAGAGAGGGACAGAGAGAGAATCCCAAGCAGGCGGAGCCCCATGTGGAGCCTGAACTCAGAACCATGATGTTATGACCTGAGCCCAAATCTAGAGTCGGACGCTTAACCTATGAAGTCACCCAGGCGCCCCTGGACCTATCACGTTTTTATATGTGAAATCTTCTGGGACAGAGCGTGCCTTTCTGCCAACCGTAACACCATTATGAGGTGGGCTGTAATGATTATGATTGGGTTCTCCGTCTTCCTGACACCTTCAAGGTCCCCACTTCTCTTCCTAGCCTCTTGGGTAAGTGGGGCATTTTCTTTTTCTCGAACCTCCTTTCCCGCAAGGCCACGCTCCCTTTGCTCCCATGAACAGATCAGATAAATGTCTTCTTCCTGGTGTGCTGATGTCATGCTTGGAGCTCTGTTAGTCATATTGGAATGTGAGCTAAACAACACTGGAAGCAAGCTCTGTCCCAGAGAGCAACAGACAAATACATTTCATCAAATCAAACGTCTCAATTGTAAGGCACACCATTATTTTATGCACCATAAAGAAGGAAAGAAGACGCTATCACAGGGGCGCCTGGGTGGCGCAGTCGGTTAAGCGTCCGACTTCAGCCAGGTCACGATCTCGCGGTCCGTGAGTTCGAGCCCCGCGTCAGGCTCTGGGCTGACGGCTCGGAGCCTGGAGCCTGTTTCCGATTCTGTGTCTCCCTCTCTCT